AAAAATTAGACCAATCTAACCTGACAATTTCGAGAATCGACTTTTTTGTCAAAATTCTCTAAAGACCAATTTAGGGAGATTACTTGTACCGGTGGGGGCCCTACCCCACCTAAAAAATTTTTGAAATGCTGGAACGCGGCCACCTAGCACCCTCAAGGTCACGTGACTTATTTTTTTTTTTTGGTATTTTCTGAAACCAAAACAATAAGGTCATGCGCCAATATCATGGCCTCAAGCAAAGACGTCGGACTCGACGCATTCACATTAGCCTTGCGCCCTTCGGGCGCAAATGCCAATGCTCAATTAATTTTGCCACGTGAAAAAATTTTTAAGGAAAAATTCTGATAAAATTTAACTTAAACTACCACGAAAGAACGCAAAGAATTCAAAGTGTGAAACAATCAAGTTTTTGCTAATACCGGGCATGCAGTGAGACTGATTTCGGCAAAAATAAAATGAAAATTGAAGGAAATGGAAAGAAAAAAATTTTTCAAAAAAGAACGCAACATCAAAAACTTATTTGATGTCCGCTAATGTCATAATTCCGATCAGGCTGATTTCAGATTTTAAGCGCAGAGTTTACGGTTACGGCTGCTCCCTCTACAGGTCCCAGAGGGACCGAGTGATCATCCTACCTCGATCCAGGATAACGGACAGTTGTTTTTAATTTTTCACAAATTTTTTTTCACTAATGCTTGTTTTCAATTCCTCATGAGAAGCTGTATAAATTTTTTAAAAAAATGATTTTTTTTATCAATGCTTCCAAGAACGACTGATGTTAGGCGGTTACAAATGCGGTTGGTGAAAACTAGTAAGGGATAATGATGAGAAAAATTGTAAGTTTTCAAATGAATTTAAAAACTTTTTTTTTCTTTTTTCTTTTGTAAATCGGGAGAAATGAATCAGTTTTTTTAAGTTTTCCTCGCACCACCCACTGTTCATAAGTAATGAAGATTCCTGTTCTAGCCGTTTATAAAACTTTGGCAGAAAAAACATCAGAATGATGTAAAATGTTTTTAAAAAAATAAAAATTTAAAAATTATGTTTAAAAAAAAATCAAAAACTTGTAATTTTCAAAATTGAAAAAAAGTTAAAATTAATTGCATATTACGATTCAGCGTACCCAACTTAGTGGGTCTAGCATTTTAAATTACCAAAAAATGTTGGAAATTGTAGATTTTATGAAGTTTTCATTTTGGCTATTTTTCCTTGTCGCCTACACTTGAGGCACCTGTGAGCCAACTTGAGAAACTGGAACGTAAACAAGCTGCACAGATGGTCAAAGTGAGCCATTTTCAGCGTGATAACACGCCTGGAAGAAAAAAAACTCCAGAAAAGAAAGAAAATTATGAACTTTAACCTTTTTTCTTCTTCAAATGGCGATACTTAGAATAATTTTTCAGCTGAAAAGTTCAAAAAAAATCAAAAAATTCAAATTTTGAAAAAATTTATAAAAAAATCTCATCAGTCTGTTTATTGGAGTCTTCGAGGTTTTGAGAGACCTCATCTGGCGGCTAACAACAAGTGGATCACTTATTTTAAAATTTTGAGAAAGGTCAAAAAAACATGTTTTTTTGATTTTTTTGACAGAATTCCGAAAGCAATATCTTGGCTAAAAACAAGATTGAGGGCCTAAAATTAGTACAAACAGTACTCCCACATAAGGTACATTAGGTTGGAAACAAAAAATTTACTCTGACTCAAAAATCGTTTTTTAACTTTATTTCTGAACAAGAAATTGAAAAGAAATGAAAAACTTAAAAATTTTTTGAAAAAAAAAGATTGTTTTGAAAAAGTGCCAATTTTTAGCTGAAACTTTTCATTTTAGCTAATAAAGCCAGAGCAATGCCCTTTAAGCTCAAATAAATTAATTATGCAAATTATTTTGAAGTTTTTTCGTTAAAGCCTTTTATTTTGAAAAAGTATTCAAAAATGGGTAAAAAAAAGTCAAAAAAATCAATTTTCTCCGATTCAAAAACCTCCACTACCATGATGATTAGTTCGTTAGATAGGACTGCTGAGATCAATTTAGACGTATTTTCATAAGTATATCAAAATTTTTATTTATTTTTGAGAATTAAGCAAAATAAAAACTTTTCCCAAATTGGGCAAAAAGCCCAAATTAGCCCAAACACCTGTTAAAAATTGTTGGGTCAAAAAATCACAAAAGGAAACCCCTATTCGTTTGCCATTTTAGGGCCGCATGCAAAAAATTAGACCAATCTAACCTGACAATTTCGAGAATCGACTTTTTTGCAAAATTTCTCTATAGTCCATTTGAGGGATATTACTTGTACCGGTGGGGGCCCCTACCCCACCTCAAAAAATTTTGTAATGCTGGAACGCGGCCACCTAGGATTTTATCAACTGGTTAAACTCATTGTGAGAAGAAATAGTGGTTAAAAAGACTTTTGCTGTCAAGTTTAGGTATACTGCTGAAATTTTTCTTATTTTGGTTAAAACGTTTTTTTTCATTGAATCATTTTCATTTGTTTTTGATTGACTATCGATTTCACAAAGGAACAGAGATTTCATTCGGTTGCAAACGTAATAAACTTTACTGTGAATGGAATTTTGATTGCAAACAATTTAGTATTTAGATTATCTAACAGAATCACCGCCACCGGCGATTCTGTTTAATAATCATTATACTTAGTTGTTTGCAATGAAGATTCCATTCACTGTAAAATTTACTACGTTTGCAACTGAATGAAATCTCTGTTGTTTTATAAAATTTTTACCCAACGATACACACACACACACACACACTCCGCAAACACAAAAAGGGACATTTTATCAAAGACTTTCTACTTTCTTTTCAAAAGACGCAAAATTAAGTCACTGAGCCGATAAAACATAGGCCCAAACATTTGATGCAAAAAGTTTTATTTGAAAAAAAACTAATAAAAAGATTTGGAATTAGTTCATAAAAGTAATCATATAGCAAAAATGTTTCTATTGGGGCCAATCAAGCGCTTGAACGTTGAAATATTTCAAGTTATTCCATAGATCAAATTGATTAGCAAAAACAAAGTTTTGGAATGCTAGCTATTAAATTTAAGCTTTCCAACATTTAAAATTATTTCCTAGAAGGAATTGGCTCACAAAAGACTTATGTTTCTCTAAATAAACTATTCAAACTATAAATTTTTAGCACAAACTACAGCGAATTAGATAGCAAAAAACTAGCTTTTACTTTGAAACATTTGATGCAAAAAAAATTTCATTTAAAAAAAAACTAACAAAAAAGTTAACATAATCAGGTTCTGTAGAATTACAAATTTTAGGAATGAAGTAGAAACATTTTCCATTACAATGAAAGCTGCTAACAGCACAAAATGATGGCTGTAATGCGGCAACTAAGCCGACAAAACCAGCGCTGACAATTAAAAGGCGACAAATTTTGGTCAGTCAATATTAAGAAATGATCCAAGTTTGAGCCAATGTTTTTCATCGTCCAAGGCCTTATCGCGGGATTAGGAGCAAATTGAGAGGCTAACAAACTTGAATTTAAAAGAAGCCAAGCTATCAAATGTTTCATGTGATGTTAAGCAAATTGTATACCCGTAAACAGTATATATTCCGATTTGATAACGCTTGCTAATCGCAAAAGTATATATAGTTGAATGAAAATAACGAATCTCACTAAGCCAAAACTTTCTAAAGTAAAGCAAAAAAGAAAAAAAACACAGAAAAATTAGACAAAATGAATTTTATATTTCGTTTAAGAATTGCATATCTATTTATTTTTAAAGTTACTAAGCAAGGTTGTGAGAAAAAAGTGCATATCGGCCATAATCCAGGAAGCTGTAATTGAGAAAAAATGAATACAAAATTGAATAACAGAAATTCAGCTAGGTAGATACCTGTGCATTCAAAAATTAATCAAAAAACTGCGATAAACGTTATAATTAGAATATTTTTCAAATTTGTTTAAAATTTTACCCAGATTTTGTAAACTGGATTCAGAGTTGCACAGAATAAAAATTTAAAATCTTCAACCATAAGTTTTTGGATAATTTTAAACTAGGATTTTATCAACTGGTTAAACTCATTGTGAGAAGAAATAGTGGTTAAAAAGACTTTTGCTGTCAAGTTTAGGTATACTGCTGAAATTTTTCTTATTTTGGTTAAAACGTTTTTTTCACTGAATCGTTTTCATTTGTTTTTGATTGACTATCGATTTCACAAAGGAACAGAGATTTCATTCGGTTGCAAACGTAATAAACTTTACTGTGAATGGAATTTTGATTGCAAACAATTTAGTATTTAGATTATCAAACAGAATCACCGCCACCGGCGATTCTGTTTAATAATCATTATACTTAGTTGTTTGCAATGAAGATTCCATTCACTGTAAAATTTACTACGTTTGCAACTGAATGAAATCTCTGTTGTTTTATAAAATTTTTACCCAACGATACACACACACACACACACACACTCCGCAAACACAAAAAGGGACATTTTATCAAAGACTTTCTACTTTCTTTTCAAAAGACGCAAAATTAAGTCACTGAGCCGATAAAACATAGGCCCAAACATTTGATGCAAAAAGTTTTATTTGAAAAAAAACTAATAAAAAAATTAACAGAATCAGATTCTGTAGAATTACACATTTTAGGAAGGAAGTAGGAACATTTTCTACTACAATGAAACAAAATGATTGCCGTGATGCGGCAACTAAGCCGAAAAAGCAAGCGCTGACAATTATTAGGCCGACAATTTTTGGTCAGTCAAAATAAAGAAATGATCCAAGTTTGAGCCAATGTTTTTTACCGTCCGATAAGGTTGCTATGTTGCCTACCAAAAACCAAACTTTCGATCATATGCGAGCCTTAAGCCCGTTATCAGGCAATCTTGCCTGTGCTCCAGTTTATATAGCCAGCCGATCGCACGCCAAAATTTCATGCTAAGGCAGGAAAAAAGCGGATACCTAAATTCAAGTTGCTATCAAATACTGATATAAATTGCAATAATACGTGTTGAATTCAACTTACCTTTGTGTAGCAGAACAGTTTCTTCCAGCTTATGTGTAGAAAGAACCTCTGTAGGACATACATGCCCAATATGACCAACAAAGCTACGCCCACTCCCGTCATGGACCCATAGAATGGCTCCACCTGAAGCATTCATTCGTAATAATTTTGGTTAGTAAGATGACATGAGTTCACTTTTTTGTGAAATGATCAATTTAAAAACTACGAGAAATACTGTAACGAAAAATCATGTTTATTCCGACGACTGGAAGTGGCGAGAAACATTGTCTCCGCATGTGCTTAGTTTTTCCACGCAACATCCGGTATCACAACTAATTATCAGAATCGGCCATAGTATAATAAAAAGTGACATAGTATAATAAAAAAACGGCGTAAAAAACTAGTTTTTAAAGCTTCATTTAACGCTTCTTCACCTTTGGAAAAATTTTAAAAAAGTAGTCGAATATGACTATGCTTTTATTGTTATCCGCCTACTTTTGGTTTTTTCTCATCATACTAAGCAGAATAATTTGCCAACAGACAGTTGAAAAAGTGTCAAGGAAAGAAAGAATTAAACAACATATAATGAGTGAAATTTCGTGATAAAATCAACCCAGTTTGAGAAAACTGAATTATCGGGTGATTTTTATAACATTGGAATATCTAAGAATTAAAAATCTTTTCGGAACTCGCGTATTTCACGACATTGGAAGTTTCGTAATTGGAGAGCGCAATTTGCATTTCTTTTAGCAAATGATTTGATTTGAACTTAGAACGAAGTCAAAAGTCAAACAGCAAAAAATCATATTTGGCGTGAACAAGTTTTACGAATTCTTCCTGAAAGAAAGAACCAATATAACCAGGATAAGCATCATCACTACGCTCATTGACACATAAGAAAAACTGAAAATGTAGTGAGATTGTAGATGGTTAACTTGAATACAGCCTCAAGCTGTCTGTTGATTGACAAGCTGGCAAAACGCTCACAAGCTGTCTGTTGATTGACAAAGTACTGATTTGGAGATGACCACCAATTAGAATCATCATGTGAATTAAGTTTCTAACGGAAAAAAAGGCTAATACTCGCTTGCAGTAATCTTTCTCATCATACAAGGGTCCAGCAAGGAATTACATCGCCTTAATGGTCTTTTGAAAATCTAACGAATCGGACAACGAAAAGTTAAAGTTTTCTGCTGAAGCCATTCAAGCATTGAAACTTCGAAAGATTTGGAATTAGTTCATAAAAGTAATCATATAGCAAAAATGTTTCTATTGGGGCCAATCAAGCGCTTGAACGTTGAAATATTTCAAGTTATTCCATAGATCAAATTGATTAGCAAAAACAAAGTTTTGGAATGCTAGCTATTAAATTTAAGCTTTCCAACATTTAAAATTATTTACTAGAAGGAATTGGCTCACAAAAGACTTATGTTTCTCTAAATAAACTATTCAAACTATAAATTTTTAGCACAAACTACAGCGAGTTAGATAGCAAAAAACTAGCTTTTACTTTGAAATTTTTGAAGCAAGAAACTTTATTTTTTTAAGAAAAATTTCATGAATTTAATCAGATAGGGGAAGAAATTCAAGTTTTTCATTTTTTATTGGAACCAATCAAGCGATAGAACTTTGAAATATTTTAAGATAAATTATATATCAAAACCAGTAACAATAAAAACAAGTATTGCTATGCTAGCTATTTGCCCTAAGTTTTGAAAGCTTCAACTTATTTGTCAGGCCGAATCGGTTAATGAAAAGCTGATGCTTTTCATAAGCAAGCTAATCAAGTTATAAAGTAAATTCGTAGATCGAATCAAATCACGAAAAACTTGAATATTTCTAAGCAAGCTATTCAAGCTTTGAAACTTTGAATTATTTCAAGTTATTTTATGGACAAATCAATTCGTAAATGTTCAAGTTTTTCTAAATTTTTTTTGAGTCGCTCAATCGATGCAAATCAATGTTTCAAGTTATTTTATGGACGGAATCAATTTGCCAGGTATTTCAAGTTTTTCTAAGCAAGGTATTGAAGCCATGAAACAGCTCATATTGTTTTTCAGATCGTATTGCGAAACGTTAGTGTTCTATGCTATTTAATTCAGATAGTTACATAGAGACAGTCAATTGGCGAAAAAAAAACATTTTATCAAGCTATTTAAGTTATGAAACCTCAAAGTATTTCAAGTTATTTCATGAAGTCAACCGGATAGCAAAAACACTCACAATTTTCTGAAGCAAGTTATTGAAGCTATAAGCAATTGAATTATTTCGAGTTGTTTAGACCGAAAAATTTCTCAGCGAATTAATCGACCGATGAAACTTCGGAATAAAACAAAAAGTTTCATAGAGCAAATCAGTTCGTAAAAATTCAAGTTTTATTTAATCAAGTTATTGTAGCTATGAAAAAAATGTTTCCTTGTTCTTGGTAAGGAAGTAACGTTTACGAAACAAAATAGCTTTTCTGCGCGAGCAAATTGAGCAATGAACTTCAAAAAAATCCAAGTTGTTTCTTAGACCGAATCGTTTTGCTAAAAATTACACTGTTCGAAAACAATCTATTCAAGCGGTGAAACTTTGAAAAATTTCAAGTTATTTCATAAACCGAACCGGATGGCAAAAAAATGAGGTGTTTTTAGGAAAGCTATTTTAGCTATGAAATTTTGACATATTCCAAGATGCTTAATGAAACGATTCGGTTCATTAAAAAATATTTTAAGCAAGTTCATCATAGTGCGAAACTTTGAAATTTTTCCAAGTTTATTCATAAGACTGATTCAGTGTGCAAAAAAAAACGTTTTTCTAAGCAAGCTTCTAAGACTTGTGCTATGGAATTTCGAATTATTTTAAGTTATTTCACAGACCGAATCGGTTTGCGCAAATTTGAAGTTTTTCTAAGCAATCTTTTCAAGCTAGAAATTTTGAAATTTTACAATTATTTCATAAATCTATTTAGTTTGCGAAAAGCTTAAAATTTTCTAAGCAAGCTACTAAAGCTCAGAAACATTGATTTTTTTCAAGTTATTTCGTAGACTGAATCGGTTCGCAAAATCTTCAATGTTTTTTCAGCAACCTATTCAAGCTATGAAGTTTTGAAATACTTCAAGATTTCTTGTGGACCGAATCGGTTAACGAAAAATTTCCGTTTTTCTGTGCAAGCTTTTTGAGCTACAAAAAGTTAAGAAATTTAAATTTATTTCGTGGACCAAAATGGTTCGCAAATACTTTAAAGGTTTACGTAGGTGGCGTCTCTCATGCTTGAGGGACCGAATGGTTGAAAATGATTTTTAACTTACTTTGAGCTAACCAGAATTGAGTATTCAAAATTTCTAAGTAAATCGCGGAAATCTCAAAGTTAGAAAATAAATCCAGGCCATTAATTTTAATACTGACTGAGTTGATAATAAGCATATGCGTTTTCAAGACTAAAAAATTCTTATGAAAAAGAAATTATAAATCTTGATGTTTATCTGAATAGTATTGCGATTGCAACTCGCAATTTGTAAAATTTTTGATTTTTTGCAACTAATTTAAAACATTTTCTGTTAAAATTGTCTTTGACTTTTTTTTACTAGAAAGACATTTAGCCATTAGGAACGCTTAGCGAGTTTGATTGGTTGAAGATTTTTAAGCATTCGGTCCCTTAAGCATGAAAAACCTCCCTCAAAATGTATACAGGTTTTCAAACTTTTAAAGCTATGAAATTTTGAATTATTTCATAGACGGACTCAGTTCATAGACGGTTTTTTCATTGACAGACTCGGTTCGCTAAAAGTTTCAAAGCAAGTTTTTAAAGCTATGAAGTTTTGAATTATTTCAAATTATTTCATAGACCGAATCGGATCGCAAAAAGTTTCTTTTTTAGCATGGAGATTGCCCTGTTTAGTTGCTTTTTTTTATTTCTGACTGAATTGAATCTGTAAACGCAAAAATTTGGACAAAAATGAGGCAGCTACTGTCTAGCCTTGAAATTGGATCGAGTTCATCTTCCTCTGATGGTTGCACTGAATGATTCCTTAACGTTGTGCTCGATAGCAAAGTTAAAACGTTGCGTCCATATATCGCATTAGGACTATTATTTAACATAAAGGAAGGATTTAATTTTCTTCGCAACAGTCAAAGATTTTTAAAAAATTGCGAGCGTTTTTGTGTAATTATTTTTCGAATTTTGAGCATCGAGCAGCATCTCAGCGCAAAACAAAGTTGGCTACGACAGCAGCACAAAATAGGATATTTTTCGGTCAAAAAAGTTTGCTCAAAAATATTGTGGTTTTTTGGATAAGGCTGTAAATTTAAAAAACGAATCCATATATAATTCCTGTTTGTAGATAAACAAAAATAAGAAATATAATTTTTTGCCTTGGCCCAGTTCTTCCTGATTTTGACGTTGGCGGATGACTTGGCACTGTAGAGAGATGGAACAATGATGAATAGCACCGCACATCGCTGAAACACCCGGTAGTGCATGAAGCTCCAGAACTTACGCACCTAAAACCAAACAATAGACACATTGTGGTACAAGGATGCCATTTGCTGCAAATTAGCAGAGAAAGATCCGACCACAAAATAAAAAACTAAATAACAAAAAAAATCCAATTGTTTTGGTGTTTGTCAGTGTTGTGATAAGATGATCTGAATGGAAGCCTAGAATTTAAACATGTTCGATAGCAATAGTAAATTAGGCATATTTCAAAAAACAGTTTTAATTGAGAAACGACAAGAAAAAAACGTCTTTGAGCGAATTTAAACTACCTGCTTCGTTTTTATAGACTTTCTAAATTTTACAATTTTTATATAAAACCCAAATTCAACAAAACCCGTGGCATTTTGAAGATATGAGGTTAGAGTTTCACAAATTTCTTTCTCTGATATTGACAGTAACACAAAATTTTTCAATCAGAGCTATTTTTAAATCACTTTTTAATTCAATTTTTACAAACAGAAAAAAGAAACATGCGAGGAGATAATTGATATTTGTTTTAAAAGCCTTCGATGCATGCCAAAATTTGATTAATACTGTTTGATTTCACCATTCAGAACTTCTAAATACGCTTTCTTTATGATTCGGTAATTCAAAAAATCAAAGTAAATAATTTGACTGCTTGTATAAATACAAATAAACTGTGGAAAATTTTGAATACCATTTAATGTATATGAATTAGTCTTTTAGGCTAAAATTACGAAATTTTTAGGGAAAAACAAGCATTTTGAATTTTTACCAGATATTTTAGGTTGGTCGATCTTAACCGATGCATTTGGATGTATATTTAAATAATCAATCCTTTTTGGAAAAGTTCAACATGAAGGATAAAAAATTGTTTTTCTTGATCATTTTCTAGATTTAAGTTTTTTGGAAGGCAGACTTACAAAAGTTGTTGTGCAAATTTTTTATTGAGTTTTCTGAAGTTTAGGACCAAATTTAGGAGCTCTCTGCAAAAATAGTACAAAGATATTTTTTTCAAAGAATACTTTGGCACCGCAAAAAAAAACTTGAAAATTGAGAACAGAAGCATATACAAAAAGGGATCTTTTTGTGCAGTCAGTGGGTTGCTCACCGAGTTTGATATCTTGAACGAAAAGAGAAAAACGTATATTTTTGATGATGCAAGGCTCAACACTTCAGGGCATCCACAAATTTCTTACTTGCTGAATAGTACAAATGAGTAGTATTCACTTCTGAAATCTTTTCTTTTAATTTTGCCCGGTCTAAAGTTGAAGATATTCAATTGAAATATGAAACCGAAAAAAATACTCGGATAACTTTTTTCTGTTTTTACACTGTTATATCATATAAAAAATCACTAAACTAAATACATTGACACTCTGCGCAACGAGAAATCTATCAGTCTGAAGCTTTAAATTAATAATAATAGGCCATAAAAAGCTTCCAGTATAGGTCTATATTCATCAAATTTACTTTAATGAAAGATCATTTTAAAAGAATCTAGTTTTGAACACTAGCGGAATGAATAAACTGTTTTCTCAGAACAGAAATTTGACAAACTTATATGAAAAAGTGAACATTCGAGAAAATAATTTTATTAGAATTAAAAAATTATTACCTTTTTATTTCCTATTATTGTGGTCTCTGGAAATTTATGAAGCAAGTTGATCAGTTCATTTCATTCCGTTTTAATTTGCATTTTTTTTTAAATTAAGAAAATGACTTGTGAAACAGTTGTAGGTTTTTTGAGTTTTAGGTAAAATTAAAAATTATGATGTTTTTAGAATTAATCAGTAAATTTTTTGCCCTTTTTTGATTTTTTGTAAACTGAAAACTTCGGCGGATGCGATTTTTTCCCAAGCGTCTTAGACAGATTCACCGCGAATTATTTTTTATAGAAGTTTCAAACAATTTAGTATGAATGAAGCTTTTTTGGCATGATATAATTTCTTTTCCCCGCTTTTAATATACTAAAATAAACTGTTTCTTGAATTTCACGACTATATTTAATCTGTTTTTGTAAAGATCAATCATTTAGTTTCCAGAAGTTTTTTGAAAAACCTTTTTGGAATCCAATTATCGACTGAAACGATTTCACTGTGGTGCCACACTCGAGCAACAACTTTCTTTCAACTCCGTGAGTAATCGAAACAGAAAAATCATAAATAAGCGACCAATTTAGCGAATGTTATACTCGCGATGAAATTTAAAATGCTTGCAAAAAATAAGATTTTACAAAGCATTACACCGGACATTTACTCACGATTTCCATCAAGTTCACTTGGGCTTTTTTGGTTTGTGTCTCGAACGTGAGGAAGCAGGAATTGATGAAGCCCAACACTGAGATGCAGAGAAGGATGATTAGGATGTGCCTGAAGGTGAAGTTGAGGGAGCAGAACTTGCCACCATACGGGGGACTAGAGAAGAAAAACTTGTTATTGACAGCGTAATACTGAACAAATTTTGTGCGAAGAAGCAACATAGGTCCCTGAGTCCTTCGAATTAAGAACCAATTGATCATCGTCGATGACCACTCTCTTTCCATTCAATTGGAGCTTTTGTCTATTCACTTGCTTGTTTCATACCAATTTGTTTTTTCTATAAACTCTTAGTACTGTTCCGATCCTTCATCTAAGCTTTATAAAAATTTTCAAATGAATTGATAATATAGCCTCTTTTCAATGATAACGTAAACGTTCATATTTATACTTTGTCTGATTATAGCTCTCAAAAGAATTTCTTAATTATTATTATAACATAGCCTGTCAGCCCTTTTATACGTATTCAGAGATAGTGTTGTGTAACGTGGGGCGCACCTGTTGAGTAGTACCCCGACTGTTAGGAAGAGTAGGACTCCCCCGAAAGTGGAGCACATCTGGGCGAAAATGTTGCTCCTCCCCCTATGCTTAAGGGGTTCGCGCTTCACGTAGTCCACCACCAGCGCATCTGAAATAATTTCGACTGTCTAAAAGCATAGAATGGAAACTAATATTTAAAAGGTGCGGTATTTTCCCCGTTCCTTCCCACCCCAAGCCCCACCTTCCAAAAACATCAGATTTAGTTTTACAGATTCAGAAAATGAGTAGAATTTTTCAAAGTTGGGACAAAGTATGCTTGGAACAGCTTAACTAGTCAACCTGCTAAATTTCATTGCAATCAGACAAGTGAACAAAATTGGGATCAACCGTACAATCTCCCCCCTTAGTGACCTACGTAGAATGCCCTCCCCAAGCATGTATTAATTCTGAAACGCTAACAAAACGCGTACATATACAAATTGTACGGTTGATCCCAAAATAGTTTCAAGTCATTTTTGTCAGAGGAACACAAAATGTGTCCCGCCATCAAAGAAAGAAAGCGGGAAAAAATTATTTCTCCACTTATAAATTTGTCCCAAAAACAAATAAATATGTCCAACCTCCAACTTAGAGAGGTCAGACAACGGGATCAATCTTCAAATCCACCATGTGTCTGCCCCTATACGGTGAATATTTATAAAAAAGTGTTTTGTACTCATTTTTGCTATTGGCACTCGTTTAGATGTTTGGTACTATCAGCAAACCAGGTCCGAATTTTCGTTTTTCAAGGCCATTTTTTCGACTACCGAGCCCAAAAGTTCGCTGAAGGCGGCTTCGTATTCAACACGTTCGTTTTCTCATGGACAGCGAGTACGATGAAAAAAAATGTTTTAAAACCCTCGAAAACACATATTGAGCTAGACTAGAGAAAATGACACCAGTGGAACACCTGTAAATCACTTGTTGCTTCGAAAACTGGAAACTTGCTCGTTTCGTTCCTAAAATTAAAATTCGACCCAAATTTTGATTATTATCCTTTCTTAACTCACCATTTCTGCTATCGACAGGCGCCCAGAATTTGTAATTATCAATAGTCAATCGAATTTGAAAGAATGGATTTAATTTTTGCCCCGCTTAGAGGCGAGCACAAAATTTTCTGTTACGTGGGTCCATATTCAAAAACCCTAATATTCTCGACCCTTTTTCAGGTATGTTATTAAATTTTTTGGATTTCTGCTGCAACCCTGGAGTTTGCTCTTGTTGTAAAATTTCCTGTGCTGCAGGCATTATTTTTTGCAAAAAGTTTCTTGTTCAGCAGTTTTAGGGAAGAAAGTTGCTTTTTTTTCTCCGCAAAAAGTCTTATGAAAAAATTAAGTATTTAATTGGCCGAAATGGCACGCGATAAAGTATTACAAAGAAACAGTTAGAAAACTTGTAACCAGACTTCAGGGGAGGAGGGTTCACCACTGGCTTCAATTAATTTAGTATTACGATTGTTTTGACTATGGGTGCTGTTTTACAAACACCGAAAGTTAGCTGAGCAATTATACATCTTCGCTTGAAGCAAAATTGAAAATGATGATTCGAGTGATTTTTAAACATTTTAAAGCCACTGAATTCTACAACATACCAAATTTTTTAATCTATATACAGGTCAGTCGCGCAGAAAAATTGAGACTATAGACTTAATTTTGTACATAGAAAAAGAACGAGTTAACAATACTTTCTACTCAATTTTTGAAAAACTTTTAAAAGCATCTCTCTTATGGCTTGAAGATTTTGTCTGTTTTGAATTATAAACGAATCAATTCAATTAAAAAAACGAACTATTAGCCGAAGATGGAGATAAATTCGGACCATTCGTCCGTCATGGACATAGGGGCGACCATGAACGAAAAGGACACTGCCACTGACCTTCATGACCCCATGAAGCTACTGACTGAACTTCTGAAGAAGTACCATGGCCAACGGGAAATGTACAGACGCACTTCGGACTTCTACTACAAACTGAACCTATGGGTGTTCTTTCTCCCAATTTTACTAGTTCAAGGTTAGTTTATCCCAATATTAAGTTCAAACCTAATTTTAACGTCACTGAATGAACTCTAATTTTGTATTATCTGAGACAGAACTAGAACGCACGAGAAAAACCGGCTCGCTAATTCTTAGGCCGACAAAATTAATCTCAAAATCGTTCCCGACCCTTTTTGGATGACCTTAACCCCTTCTTTTGCTACAATTCTCTCCCCCATGCAAAATTATTATGTAAGGTCCGCGCAGGGCTGTAAAAGCTGCAGAGTTTCAAAGCTGATTGAGAAAAAATGGAGAGAATTGTAGCAAAAGAAGACCCTTTGGACGGTGAGATGTTCGGATTTCTAGGTGTGTAAGCTTGTGATCCTACAAATCTGAGAGATAGTTTTGAGATGTTTTCAGAACATGATGATCATGTTTTGTAACTGACAAAAAAAGTGCCTATGAAAAAGAGGAGTTTAGACTTTTTTTGAATTTTTGAAGACGAAATTATGTCAAACTCAATGTCCCATTATGTCTAATCTATAATTTATACTTTATAAATTAAGACAAAAATGATATTTATTAAAGTATGATTTTTCTGTGGTGTAGCTGTGACGACATTGTTCACGTACAGTGCCAAATGTACAGACGTAGAGAATCATGGTGTGTTCAAGGTCATAGTAGCCATACTGAATGCGTTACTCACTGTATGGGCAGCGGCACAACTAAAACTGGGGTGAGGGAGAAAATCAACACTTATATTAGATTCATTAGAGAGACTAAATGCTCACAAATTTTCAAACTAACAAAAAAATCGAAACAATCTGTTTCGGTTGTTCAGTTAATCTGCCAGTGCAGATAGAAGTTTTGTAGCCGTTATTGGCAATATAAAATCTAGGACGTTCAAATCAAAATACTGAATAGAAAACAATTATGGGAAAGTTTTGATCTTCTGATTCGTCTCATTAATAGTTATCCAATAATTAAGAAGAAGAATAGTGAGCTGATAAGTAAAACTCAAACTGGGATATGTATTTATTTGTTCACGACAGGTGGAGTGTGAAGAAGCGATCTGCGAACACGACCTTCCTCCACTACTCGGCCATGACTCAACACGTACAAGTGTTCCACCTCATTATGGACTGCCAGCACAAGAAAAGTGAGCCAGAGCCATTATTTGTTGTTCTGACCACTTCTAAGAATGCGAGCAGTAACTATAACCTAAGTTTTATTTCGCAGGATTTCAAGTGGCTAAAAATCCATATTGAATCCCTTTCAGTAGCGATTTGTCTTCCAGTGAGAAGTTTCCAAAAAGTTCAATGTTAAGAAAAGCCGAGTTAAGTTTCCTGTTATTCAATCTCAACTTTGCTATTCACGCACAAGGAGCAACCGTATTCTCTCGCTCAAATGATATTGGCAATAGGGGTTGGGGGTTGTTCAAGAGATCCGCTCTGTGTTAGACAGTCCAGATAATCATTAACTCGCTTTACCAAAGGCATAGAATAATTTTAACCGTTGGGTAAGTTGTTTGGAATGTACAGTAAAATAGCATAGGGTTTATTTAGTCCACATTTCATATGGTTAGATGTTATGGGATTCGAAACTGAACTTTTCATGGAACTGCCATTCTCACCCTACGAATCGAATCCTACCATTTTGAGCTGATGACTTTAACTTGAGTTCCTAGCTGTCTGCTGCTCACAGGTGCCTTTGTTTAAAAAAAAAACGACCTGGACCAAGGGGGATGAAGGATTATCTCGAAAGGGGCGCAATTTCAATTTCTTTTTCAAACATTCAATTGAAGGTTTATAGGTAACCGTAGGAATCCTATTGTGCCGATATTTTCTGCCCCGCAGTTTCTGGTCTCTTTGTGGAAGGTTTTGCTTTTTTCTGCTCGCGCTTCTCGTCAAACATAGGATAAATTGGGCCAAAAGAGCTGTTAGGACAAAGTTAGAGTCGGTTTTAGAGCCGAAAATGGATGTCGTAATTTTGAGTTATGACTGGTATGTATAACTCATAGAGTAATTTCGGATAGGGTACACCGTCTGCTCGTCACGCTATCTTATTTTCGGCCGGATAGATTCGTGCAACTTCTTAGTCTAATACCGATCCTAATCTTACTCTTATACTATCTAGTCTCAGGTTGTTTAACTAGTCTCTGCTAGGCTCAATAGATCTAGGGTATACTGGTTTATTGCGGCTGCTGAAGTGCTCGGGAGAGTCCAACTAATTTCTAAGTTAAATTCAAATCTCTCTGGTGCTGAAATTACAAGTAACTTCAGCACTTACAAATAAGTGGGTTGTTAGTTAGATGGATCATGATTGGTTAATATTAAATACTTTACATTGGTAAAACATTTAATTTATCCAATCATAACATATAGTTTAGATCAGGTTCCACCCATCCGGGTTTTACAGAGTTTTTTAGAACAGCTCTTCTGTAATTCAAGGGTGGATGATGGACGTTGGTATTTGGCGAACATCATAATTTTCTTCCGCTTCTTCTTGTGACAACGACTGAGTCTCTGCAACAAAACCAATTCTGATTTCAGAATGGTTGGCTATGTCAGTTTTTTCTGTTCTTCGGGGAGAACTTCTTTTGTGTCTGATCTAGCTTGGGAATGGCGTGGAGATTGTGCGTGGAGGGGATGCCTGGTTACTCGGATCTGTACGTATACTTGAACATCGAGGTGGTCATTGGTCTAGTTCAATGAAGTCCTTTTCTGCGAAGTCAAGTCGTACTCTAAATCCTTTGAGTTGTGATTGTGAGCGGCATATCGATTGTAGTTGGTCATTCTCTCTCGAGTGTAGTGGGGTCGTTTTGTCTTTTGATGTTCGTCCTTGGTGTTGTATTCTGATCTATATATTGCATCATGTGATTTTACATTTAATAAAACTTTTATTAGTTTAATATTTTTTAATAATGATTTTAGTTAGTTGTTTTCACAAAAGCTTTTTGTTTTAGTTCGGTTATTTTGAAGAGTTACTCACACTTGAGTAGCTCTTATTAAAAATAGAGGTGTGGTCACAAAGCGTGGATGTAGCACGGTGGGTTAGGCCGGCTATAGAGCATGCTCAGGACGTCCTTCCTGGTGGGTTAGGCCAGGTGTGGGAGTATGATTTCATGCGGTTTTTGTGAGGGGTCCTGTTATGTGACAACGTTTTATGTTGGGTTTGTTGTGGTTTTACTTATGTCTTGTTGGTTATGTACTTTTTCCAAAAAGCAAATTGTTTGTGGTATGGGTTTGTCTTTCGACTTTTTTGTGTTTTATTATTTCTTTCTAAGACTTTATAATAGTCCTCAAAAGAATAAATTATCCAGTTTTAAACTGGGTTAATCCGGTTTGGGTACCGTTGGTTTCCTTTTCTTAGTCATGCTGTTATTCTATGATTTGTGGTATTTAGTAAGCTGCGTTGGTTAGTTTTGTTTAGTATATGATTCCTTTCCAACCGGGTTAAAGGAAAGTTTGAAACATGTTATTATATGTTAGAGTTGTTGAGTGTGAAAACTTGAAACTGAAATTCATTATTTTAAACAATTCTTCGTGGGCGAGCTGTGCGAGTGTGGATAGAATTTCTGTGCGAATGAATGAAAATATCAAAAGGTTAGTACTGCAATTGCATTTTATTAATTTACTGCATAGAATTTGGAAATTTACTGCTAGTTATGGGGGAATTTTAAGATACAAATTTTCATTATAATTAGATTTACTGTTTTTTGGGGGAAAATTTTATAAATTAATTTACTGCATTGGTATTATATTTATTTAATTGTTGGTGCAAAAGTTTAATAGGGTCTTAAACAGTTTTGAAGAAGTTTGCTATTTTTTATTTTTCTTTTGTGAATTTTTCAGATGATCGAGGATGAAGGCTAAAAATCTAAAGAAAACATGAATAAAGAATGGTGAGTTTTTTAATATTTTAATTAGTTAGTAATATTCATTTAATTCATACTTACCTGTTAGTCGTCGGGGAAAAAACCGTGGGGGAAGATGTCGTGAATTAGTTCTGAAGTTGTGAGTAGTTTAGCTAGAATGCGGATGATATTTTTAGTCTGAAGCAGTGGCCAAAGCAATTGAAGTGCCTTAATAGTGGTTAGTTCTTCAGTGCCTACTGCAAACTCATAAGGTGTGTTTTGGATTAAGTTATATAATTTGTGGTTAAATTTAGTGTTGTGGATGAATTCTAAAATTGGGATTTCTATAGGTTGCAGGAACTCGTGCGGGATAAGGAAGGGTCGGGATTCTTCGGCGTTGAAGGTCTTGGTGATGGGACAGAAGATGTACATTTGGGTTATGGGGTCATAATTACGAAGAATACCATGGAGGTTAGTGTCTTTAATACAATATGTGAAATTTAGGAAATACGGTGAAGTGTATTTTGAATTGATGAATTGGAAACGATGGTGTGATTGTCTAGAGGGTGTGTGGAGGTCAAAGTGATTTTGGATGAAACGATAGTAACTGTATGTATGTGTTTGTTTAGTGCGCAACATAATATCGTGTGAGCAGTGTAAATCTCTTTCGTGTGGTGCAAGGAAATGAAAGGTTAGTGAAAAGATTTGGAAGCGTTCTTTAAAACTTTCGTATGCTTGTGTGTTTGTTAGTGCTTCTGAAATAATGTGATCAAACTTTCGGTCGAAGATGTTTAGTGTAAATACATATGGTGTCTTGATGAAAAATTTCTCGGTGATTTGTGGATTAGCGAAGCGATCGTCGTCTAAGAATTGATCTTGGTTAGCTCTGATGATGTTGTGATCGTAGTATTCTAGTGTATATTCATTAGCTCTAGGTGCAGTGTGTATTTTTAGTGATTTTTTATATCCAACGTAAGTAAACTGTCTAGCGGTTAGTGGTGTAGTTAGTTGATATAGCATGTCTTTGTTTCGGTCTATATCGATGGAAGTGCTGGATAAAGGTAAGCAAAGAGGGTTAGTGAAATGATAGTATGAGGTCCAAGAGAGAGTGGGCATTAAAACGTATTCATCTACAAAGTTGCGTGTTTCGTTAGCGTCGTGAGGGGTGTTTAAGGTGTATTGTGGAAATGAGGGTAAAGTGATAGCTAAAAATTCTTTAGTGTTAGTATGCTGGGGGTGGTTGATGTATTCACGGGCTGTTCCTGGTTTTGCTGGGAAAGGATGGTTGGGGAATTTTCTTTTAAAAGTGCGGTAAGCTCTATTAGTGTTTAGTGAAGATATAGTGGATGTGGATGATGGTGTTAATGATTCAGTATAATTTGAAGAGGGTGTAGGGGGATTGGATGAATTTGTAGTGGAGGAGATTTGGTTTATGGTCGGGGTGTTAAGGTGGTAGGGTTGTTGTTGGAGGGTAATAAAATTATCTAGTTCTGGGGAGTTTCGGGGGGTGTCTGGAGAATGAGATGATTGGTCAGAATGGTATGAGGAGTAGGTTGGGGTAACTTGGGAAGCATAAGAGGGTGTGGGAGTGATTGGGTCAGGGTTATTGGATAATATGGGTTGAAAAGGGGGTTGAGAAAAATTAGAAGGGTTATGAAAATTATTGGATGGAGATGGTTCTGAGTCGGCGAATTCATCGGGGGTTTCAATATTCGGGTTATTTAGCTGTGAAATGGAGTATAAAACTGAAATATGTGAGTTAGTGTCGGAATTCATGCCTGATGTTACATTGCTAGATGGAAAATCGGGTGGCGGAAAAGCAAAAAGTGGTATGATTGGGATTGGAGAGGTAAGATTTGTTGGATGGGAATTTGATCGGTGTAGTGATCCAAGTTGGCGGCTCATCGTGGGCTAAAAAAATTATTATTTTGAGATTGAAAAGCGGTGGTATGGGGCTGTTCAATAATTTGTTCATAAGTATTATCATCTTGTGATTGATGTGTCTTTATATGTTGGATGGGACTTTGTGATGTGGTGAGTCGAAAATTTGGATTATGTGTGATTGCTAAATTTCGAAAATTTCGTGGGACTAGGGATAGTGGATGGTTATTTGGTAGGGGTGGTAATTGTGGTGCCGTTGGCTGTGTGTCGACATTGTTATGTTCTTCGTCGTATGTATTTTGTCGTGTTGTTATTTTTGTGTTATATTCTTTTATTTGTGCGTCTAAAAGAATTTTGTTTATAGATGTCGAAAAAATTCCAAAAAATCCTGCAAAGAGTATGCGTGCTACGCTTGCTTGTCT